CCCCTGCCGTGCCACTGTCCCGGCCCTCACTGCCCTTTCTGACGCTGAACTGTTGCCTTATAGACAGGAACGCGCCCGTCCAGAAGATTTTCAATGGCCACTTGAGGGTCCTGAACTGGGACTTCCTTGACGCTTACGAGAACTCCAGCTCGCCGGACTTCATCATGCTGGCCAAGAAGGTGAAGAGCACGGTAAGAGGTTTCTTGCATCCCTCCTCCTGCGAGCAGGACTTTGTCCTCTTCCCCCTGTGGCCACGGGGATCTTGCACGTAAGGCTGCTTGGAGCTTTCTCGCTCCTCTCGGCTCTCCCCGCTCGCCGTGACACGCTGGGCCGGGCGCAGGGAGCCTGCCTTTAAACTGGGTCTTGGCATCGCAGCTCCAGCCCGGTGCCACCGTGTCTCCCTGCCTCTGCCACCCAGCGTGTGCCGTAGGAGGCTGCCTGGGCAAATCCTGAGGCCAGCGGATGAGTCAGGGCTGGGAGCTGAGGCAGGAGCGTGTCGGCCCCTCGTGCTGAAGCCGTGGCTGGTCTTGCCTTTCCCCTCAGATATGGGTATTCGTTGTGCTTCCCCCGGGATAAAGCCGGGCGAGCTGTGTCAGAGCAGGCTGTGGTGTGCCGGTCTGAGCGCTTCTGGGACTCTCAACTTTCCCTTTTCCTCTGGGGAAAGTCCCTCTTCTGAGACTCTCAACTTTCCCTCTGCAGATTCCTGCAGCCAGGGGTGCTGGGGATGTGCCCTGATTTTCCATAGCGGGCTTGAAGCTCTGTCTGTCTTTAGCCTTTCCCTCCTCCTCACTTCTAGACAGGCTGAACACCCTTCTTTAAACCTTTCAGGTGGAGGAAATCTACAGGAATCATGCAGATATTGGTCCTTACCACAAAGAGACGGTGATAACTGCGTTCAGGTGAGTGTTGGGTGCTGTCTGAGCCCTCTCTGGGGGTGGAGGGGGGCGATGCGGCGATGTCCCGCAGTCATGGACCCTCATTCCTGGGCTGCTATGCGCGGGGACACCTCATTAGCCACCCTGAGTGACACAGTAACGGGTGAGCAGTGAAAAGCGACCTGAAAACACATATTGTTTTCTGCCAGTTCTCATAACTGTGTGCTGAGGGAGGTGTCTTGGGAAAATCCAGGTATGGTACAGTGGAGCACTATGAACTGCAGTGGGTGGCGTCTGGCAGCTTTGAAAGGGACTCCCCGGGCTGGCAGGAGCCTTTGCTGGGCGCAGTTTGCTTAGCTTGTCGTTAAGACTCTCCCTTTCCCATGGCTGTCCTTCAAAAATGGCTCGTTAAGTAGCTTGGACCCTTCTTCTACTGACACTTGAGCCCTCCCCCATCTGTCCTTGCTCTCACCCCATAACGGCCCTTCCCCTGCAGCGAGGGCAGCGTCATTGCCTACTACTGGTCCGAGTTCGTTGTCCCCAAGTACCGGGAGGAGAGTCTGGACAGGGCGATGGCGGACAAGCAGAGCCTGGTCCAGAGGTGGAACCCCCGCCTGCGAAACCCCATGCTGAAGGTGGAGTCGGTCGTCGCTTTCCGTGAGTGCTGGCTCCGCCGTCCCTGAGCCTCTGGGTGGGACTGGGGCGGGGAGGGGACACACATTTCGTTTTGGGGGGTAAGCTGCCGGTTGCAGCCCTCCTTTGGGTTCTTCGGCCCCGGGGATCGCTCTGAGGTTGAGCGTAAGGATCTGGCTTTCTCAGCGCTGCTTTGATGGGCCATGCAGACTCGGGGAGGCTGTGCAGACCCCCTCCCCTTCACTCCAACTCTGTGTTCTCCTCTGAAGAGGGACAGGGACAAATCCTCCCTCCTGCAGAGGGAAAGCTTGGTCGCTCGGCTCCCCAAAGCCCAGGCAGGAGCAGCCTCCCCGTGGCCAGCTGGCCCGGAGAGACCCCACAAGCAAGGCCAAATCAGTGCAGATCCCAGGGACCGCTTCAGCTTTGCGCCCAGGGACTTTGCACAGCTCAAAGGATGACACCACCTCTGTTTTCTCCTGCAGCTGCCGACCCCAGCATAGCTTACTCCGCTCGGAACAGTAAGTACTGTTCTTCTTCAGTCTCATAACAGCCTCTGTGCATCCCCAGCCTTCTTTGGGGTGGCGATTTCCCGTGCAAGGTGGGAAAGGGCCTGGAGAGAGGTGCTCTGTGTGCAAGGCAGACCTCCGTGTCCTGCTTGGAGCTGGTTTGGGGTTGGCCAGACTGCGGCACGGGCTTTGCCGTTGTCTAGCAGTAGCGGGTGGCCCTGGCTGTCCTTCCCCAGTGCCTCACTTTGTAGATGGAGTTTGGTGAGCAAGGGTGCTCCCTGCAAGAGGCTCTGCCCAGGGACAACCTGCAGGCAGGCGAGGAATTACAAGTGCCACGCTCTGCATCTCTCAGGGGAAGAGCAGGGCACAACCTCCTCGTTTGCTTCGTTAACTCTTCCCCGCTCTCTTGGGCAGAGAGCTGCATGTTTGCCCTCCACGCCAAGGAAGGGGAGATCACCAGTTTCACCACGCCGGGCTTCCCCAACAGCCCGTACCCCAACAACGCGCTCTGCTACTGGACACTGAGGGCGGACGCCAACTCCATCATCAGCCTGACCTTCAGGACGCTGGAGCTGGAGCAGTGCGCAGACAACAGCGACTACATCAAGGTGTACAACTCTCTGAGCCCCGTGGAGCCCCACGCTTTGGTCAGGTGAGTGTCCCCATCAGGTTTCTGCATGGCACCGAGTCCTGGCGCGCGGTGGCAGGGTGACACTGAGAAGTCCTGCTGGTAACTGAGCTCCTGCGGCTGCTCAGAGGCGATCTGTGCTGCTTGAGGCTCTCTACGCAGTTATGTTTCACGCATCTTGTCCTTTCCTTCCTAGGCTCTGTGGGAATTACGCCCCTTCCTACAACCTGACCTTCCTGTCCTCCCAGAACGTCATGCTCGTCACGTTGGTTACCAACAAGGAGGGGAGATTCCCCGGCTTTAAGGCCGAGTTCTTCCAGCTCCCCAAGATGAAAGGTGAGCAGAGGCTTTGGCCCAGTTCCCCCTGTCTCTCCGTGCCACGGGCAACTGAAGAGGGAGGCGCAGCTGTGGCTGCGGTCAGTTCGCCAGGGTGTTTCCAGGGCCAGGAGACCTGGCAGCAGGTGACATCGCGCCTCTTGGAGCTTGCCTTGCCCACCGTGCTCTTGGCTGCTGTAATGATGTCCCTTGAGGAGGGCAAAATAAGAATTATGTTGGATTAGACATGCAGATCGATGTACGCAGGAAGCCCTTAATTGATCTCCTGGGTTCTCTCCGAGCCTCGGAGCAGAGCTGCTCGCTCCAGAGATCGACTTAACCTTGTTAGAGCCTGTTGCATCTGCCTCCCTTCAGGCCTCGGGCGATAGCCAGCTAAGGCTCGGGGAAACCACGTCTCTCTGCGTCTCTAACCTGTTCTCATCTTCTCGCTTATCTTCTAGTCTGCGGTGGGACTCTGAAAGGAGAGAGCGGCACCTTCACGACTCCCTATTACCCGGCACACTACCCCCCAGCCATGGACTGTGTCTGGAACATCGAGGTAAGACGGGGTCCTCTCTTCACCTTAATTAGTCTGTCAAATGAACTTGGTGGTGCAGGACACCGTGCAAACCAGCTCACGGCAGATGCTGCCTAGAGGCGTAGAGCCTGACATGGCTGGAGGAAGGCAGAAGAGGCCGCGAGAGGCTCGAACCCCGCGCAACACCGTAGCCCCCAATAACGGTAGATTTCCACAAAAAGCACGTGGGCTTTGGGACGGGCCAGTCACTTGCTGGCGAGACTGGTGGTGGGGGAAACCTTCTGCCCTGGGAGAGCAGGCACCGTCGACAGAGGTCTGGCTTCAACCCGTCTCTGTGTCCCTGTTGGATCTGGGCTCAGCAAGCCGAGCAATGCCTAAAGTCAGGATGAGCAACAGTGGCTTTTCAGGAAGGTTCTGCTTTTCCTGCTTGATTTCTTTCCTTTTCCGGTTATCTTCTGTCCTCCCCGCAAACCCTTTACCCACGGAACTTAGTCTGATTTTTCTCTGCTGGGGAAAACAACGTGCCGCTGACTCTGCTTCCTTTTGCAGGTTCCCCCTAAAAAGAACGTGAAGGTGCGTTTCAACATGTTCTTTGTGCTGGAGCCCGGGGTCCCGGTCAGCTCCTGCACCAAGGACTACGTGCAGATCAACAGCACGAGGTAGGTGTCGGGCGCTGGCGCTGTCTGACCCCCGGCATTGCCCCTTGGAGTTGGGGGGGCTGAGTTTAGTTATATGGCAACTCCTGCTTTCCTTAAACTGGCTGTGGGAACAAGCGTGCCGGTGCTTTTTGGGATATGATGAGGCAGGAGGGTGCTGGGGTCTGACCCGCTCTCGGAGCTCGATGCCCCGTGGTGGGAGGGGAGCAGCCCGCTTGGTTCTGGGGATCGGACCCTGCGTTTGTTGCCTGCTGCAGCTGCGTCCCCCCCCCAAAATGCTGCGAAACATCGCGTCACGTGCCTCGCGTGCAGAAAGGCAGAAACATCTGGCGCGGTTTTGCTTGAATGAGCAAATCTCCATTGTTAGGGTAATTGCGTTGCGTTCTGTGATGCGTTTACTGTTACATTTATTGTTTGCTATTGCACAACCTAACGTGGGCTGAGCCACAAAGACAACCTGGTACTGCGCCGGGGGAGCGAGCGGTGTCGTTTCACAACATTTTGGGCAAAGGAACTTGACCCTTCCTCGAAGAGAGAGGGTTTCCAAGTCAGCACCTGCGTCTGCGGTTCCTGCAGGGATGCTTGTGTTAGCGATTCCTGCCGACCCGCGGCGGGATGGGATCCTGCAGCCTTAAAGGCTGCGCAAATCCGGAGCCGGGGTGGGATTTGGTTGAACTCGCTCCCAATCCTTTCTAGGGCCACAACTTGGTGTTTGCAACTGGCCCGAACCTTCCGCCAACGGCAGGAAAATTCGTCTCCTGCGTTTGTCCAGCAGTTTGTGCTCCCTGTTCCCCTGCCCCCTTCGCTCTCTGGGTGTGAGAGGCGACCCTCGGTGCTGATGGGGAGTTCGGGGACGGGAGACGGTTTGCCCAGTGCTGACCCTACAGCACTCCGCTCATCTTTGCTCTCTCTCCCTGCAGGTACTGTGGGGAGCGTTCCCAGTTTGTGGTGGCCAGTACTACCAACAAAATAGAGGTCCGGTTCCACTCAGACCAGTCCCACACGGACACTGGCTTCTCTGCCGAGTACCTCTCCTACGACTCCAGCGATCGTGAGTGGAAACCCTGAGGCTGTGGGGAGGAACTGAGGGTCTGAAGTCTGGAGGCTCTCCCTCCTCTGCGCTTACGCTGCCCCGTAAAGTGGGAGGCGTGCTTTTCCAGGGGACGGGAGCGTGTCTTATTTTCCTGCAAACCTCCTTGTATTCCCGCTCTGTTGAGAGGAAAAGATGGTTTTAATGCCGGATGCTGTAAGCGGGCTCGGGGAATGTTGCGTGCCATGGGGGAGGGACATAGAGGGGATGACTGGAAGGCTCACGCGTTGTTTTATCGCCTTCTCCCCTCTCAGCCTGCCCTGGCAAGTTTACCTGCGACACTGGCCGCTGTATTGACAGAAGCATGCGCTGCGACGGGTGGCTGGACTGCGTAGACGGCAGCGACGAGAGATCCTGCAGTAAGTCTTCCGTCCTTCCGTTTCATTTCGGCTTGCCACGGGAAGGGCTGCGCTGCCCTGAGGTGGGCACGGGTATTTGCTGTGGGCTTGTTCTGGGTAGCGTAGCCTTAGCGCTGAGGCTTTGCGGATCAGCTGCCATTCTCTCCCTCGCGAGCACCAGCGGAATCAATTTGGGATCCTTTCCCAGCACATAGGAGCCATGGGTTCCTGCTAATCCAGCCCTCTCCCAGTGGGATCTCCCTCCCTTTCCAGTCCCTCCCAGCTGGGACTGTGTTTTTCCGTTTCATCCTCAAAGCTGTTGTGGGTTTGGCTGAGCCGGGTGGTGTAAAGGGATGTTTTTTGATACCGAACCGGGCAGGTATTGCAGAGCCCATCTGGAAAACCTGTGTGATACACAGGAGTTGTTTCTTTGCGCAGTAAGTTTTCCTCTTGGATTAGCAGAACTATCCCATAGGTAATGTTATTGCCCAGGGTCTGCGGGTAATTAGAGAGGACGGGATCCCCTGGTTTGGGGTCTCTTTCCCGGGTAGGGGGCTGTTTTCTGAGGAAGGGCTGCCCGCGCCCCGATGCGGTTATCTCGGGTGCTTTCCCACTGCTTGTAGCTTTGGTTGAGTTGTTGCCTCTGGCTGTCCTGCTGCCCTTATGTCCTCTTCAGCCTGAGACACCGCAGCACTCCAAATAGTTTTGTTGTCCAGAGCGGTGGAAATACAGTGCTGTAGCTTAATCGCGGTATGTGTTTACGCAATTGTGTGTGTGGCCCCGCGCTGTCGTGCCGTTTTCTGGTGCGCTTCTTCCCGGGTGCTTGGGTGCCGCGGCAGACGGGTCGCTGGCGATGATGACTCCACAGGTGCCTTTTGCAGGTCTCGCCCCTCATTTCTCGCTCTCCCTTTTCAGCCTGTACCGACCAGCAGTTCAAGTGCCAGAACGGCTGGTGCAAGCCCAAGTTCTGGGTCTGTGACAACGTGAACGACTGCGGCGACAACAGCGACGAGCTGCAGTGCAGTAAGTAACTCGCCCCGCGGGCAGAAAGGGCCGAGGGCTTGAGCAAGGTGAAGGGAATGATGGAAGAAGGCAAGAAACCCAAAATACCATCCATCCGCAGGGGAGAAAAAGAAGGATGAGCAAAAGCGTAGGAAATCAGGCTTTGAGGAAAGAAAGGGCTGCATAAATCAGTGGCGGTGTGCAGTTTAGAGAAGAAAAGACCGGGGACGCAGGACACAGGCGTTTGTGCGGTGTGGCTGCAGAGGCTTTGCTTGTCTCGGGGGGAAGGGGAGATGGACACGGCCGCGTGCTGGAGGTGCTGTGGGCTTTGCCGGCTCTCAGGAGCTGCTCTCCCCCAGGTTGTGCAGCCGACAGCTTCAAGTGCGCCAATGGGAAGTGCATCCCCAACGCACAGAAGTGTGACGGCAAGGACGACTGCGGGGACGGGAGCGACGAGGGCAGCTGCAGCAACGGTGAGGATGGGCTGCGGAGGGGCATCTCCCCTCAAAGGCGGATTTCTTCGTGGCCGGGAATCCTGGCGTGCATTTTTTTCACGGGGTGGCGATGTCCTGGGGATGGGCTGAAGAGGTGAAGGGCTCCTGGATGGCGCGACCTCCCCAGAACTGGGGCTCACCCTTCTCCCTCTGTCCTGCCTGCAGCGGTGCACACAACAGTCCCCTGCAAGGAACACACGTACAAGTGCCGCAGCGGGCGCTGCATCAGCAAGCAGAACCCGGAGTGCGATGGGGAGCAGGACTGCGAAGACAATTCTGACGAGGACAACTGCAGTGAGTACCCTGGGGAAGGGGGGGAACACGGGTTTCTGCGCTGGGCCCCTTAGAGAAACACTTAAGTGCGGCAGAGAGAGCCGCTGGGTTTTTCTGAGCGATAGGTGGAGCTGAAAATAGCCGAGCTGTGTTTCTCAGCAGCGTGTGGGATGTCTGTGGTGTTCGGGAGGGCTTACACAGGTAATAGAGGGGTTTGTCTGCACATTTATGGACCTGGCCGGTAAATATTTCAGCAAATTTAGCATTTGTGCTCCCGTGCTGATGGCGTCGGCCATCCCGGTGTGGGTAACGGGGCACTTGTGCTGCAGGAGGTGTCCCGGAGGAACGAGCTGAACGGGAGCAGGAGTAACCAAGTGCCCCTTCTCCTTCCCCACCCCAGACTGCGGGATCCGCTCCTACACGAGGAAGTCGCGGATCGTCGGCGGGCAGAACTCGGAGGTGGGAGAGTGGCCGTGGCAGGTCAGCCTCCACGTCAAGGGCCAGGGCCACATCTGCGGGGCCTCGCTGATCTCGGAGAGCTGGCTGGTGTCGGCCGCACACTGCTTCCCGCAGGGCATCTGGTAGGTGGGAGCCGGATCGGGGCCCCACGCACTGTGGCGCTGCCCTTTTCAGGCGTTTGAATAGGAAAAAAGCGACTTTTACAGGTGTTTCTCAAGGAAACTGTTTAAGGTTGCGAGCTACACTGTCTGTGAGACGGGGATTCACCCTGCCCTGTGTTTCGTGACTCGTGCAGGTACTCGGACACTAGCCTGTGGACAGCCTACCTGGGCCTGACCGACCAAGGCAACCGCAACGGCGCCAATGTGCAAACACGGAAAATCAAGCGCATCATCACCCACCCCTACTTCAACGACTACACCTACGACTACGACATTGCCGTCGTGGAGCTGCAGAGCCCCGTCACCTTCTCCTCCGTCGTCCAGCCCATCTGCCTGCCCGATGCCAGCCACAGCTTCCCCGTGGGCAAGGACCTGTGGGTGACCGGATGGGGAGCCACCGTGGAAGGAGGTGAATTTACGAATTTGGGGCCGCGTTGATGTATTTTGACGTGTGGCTTTAGTGAAAAGGGGGGCTGGCTGTACGCGATGGAAATGGATTCGCTTGCCTCGAGACCGGAATCAAACAAGATTCCCTTGGGAGTGCACAAAGTTAACGTCTCGGTCCTGCTGGAAAAAAATGGGTTGTTGCGACGGGGATTTACCGGGCAACTAGTCGGTTGTTCAGAGCCTGAACGAAGCGCGCAGTTGGGGGGGAAACACCACACGTTTTTACTGAGGCTGCCCATCTCTCCTCGCAGGCAGCGGCGCCTCCATCTTGCAGAAAGCAGAAATCCGGCTCATCAACCAGACGGTGTGCAACCAGCTGCTGACGGACCAGCTGACGCCGCGCATGATGTGCGTGGGGATCCTGACGGGCGGCGTGGACGCCTGCCAGGTAGGCCAGCGCCGCGGCGGCACTCGGGTTTATTGCTGTGAGGAGGAGCCTTAGTTAGGTAGACAGGCTGCTTGCTCAGCCCTTTTTTTTTTGATTCTGGCACTTCCACCCACATTTCTACATTTAATATACAACAAATCTACGTGGATCCTCTTTGATTTGGGCAACGGACGAATTGGAAAGGGCCTGAGCAACGAATTCTGTCGACGCATGACTTAGTCTCAAAAACTGCAGCCCACAAACGCACGACTTAGACTCAAAAACATCGCAGCAGGTAGGAGAACAGTGCAACCACACTCCACTTTGTTACCCAGAGCCTCAGTTAGCAAGATAGGCTGCTTGTTGAGCTCTTTATTCTGGCACTGTGACTCTTATTGCCATACTTAAATATTTGCTTTTGCTGTATGTACAGTTTTTTCTTGATTCAGGAAACTGTACAGACAGCTGACTTAGGATTGGTTTTGAGACTTTAAATCACAATAATTAATTAGTGCTTATCACTTGGCATTAGGCTAGTGTATCAGGGTGGTGCTTATGCTACTGTTTGTCCGTACAGGGAGACTCTGGGGGGCCCCTGGTCAGCGTGGAGCCCAGCAATCGGATGTTCCTGGCCGGCGTGGTGAGCTGGGGCGATGGCTGCGCGCAGAGGAACAAGCCCGGGGTCTACAGCCGGGTGACCAGCCTGCGAGACTGGATCAAACAGCAGACGGGGCTTTAGGGACACGTTCATCCCTGCGGGGTCATGGACACCACCAGCTGAGATGTGGTATGTCATGTCCTGCTGGCAGCGCACAGCCTCTACTGTGAACTTCAACCCTCCCTCTACCTCGCCGCAACCGCCTGGGACTCAGTCTGTCTACGACCAGCCCGAGTTGATGGTTTAGTTTTGCCTTTAGTGTTCCCACATCTCAACTTTGAATTCAATGTTTGGAGGGTAAGACATTTCCCTTTAAGGGTAAGCCAGCACTGCTCCCATGAACAACTTCAAGGAGCAGTCATTCGAGATAGGTATAACATTAAACTTAGAAAATAAAAAAAAAAAAAATTAAATTAAAAAAAAAAAAAAGAAAAATGACAAACACTTTGTGTTTTAGAGGCAAACTTTATTGGGACAGGTTCAAAAACAAGCTTTCAGAATATAGTCTATCTCCTTCGTTTGTTTTCAAACTGCCGTCCGCACCCCTTTTTCTGGTCTTCAGTCATGGGGGGAGGGGAAGGAGTTCTTACCGTGGTTTTGGGGGGGATCCACTTTGGGATCCCTCCCTTGCTGGGTGTCCCACGCTGGGGTCTCCATCCTCCAGGTGATGGGGCTGTTGGTCACACCGAGTCCGGGGCTGTGGGGCTGCAAGAAACAGAGTGTCACTTACCCCAAGAATAACAGCGTGCAGTGCTTCTGGCGCAGATGGTCGCCCGCCATAGGGACCCGGGCCCACTGGCATTGCCACTGTGTGCCTTAACACCACACCGTGGTTCAGCTGACGCACTTTCTTCTGAGCTGCAGCTGCTCGGAGTTGTGCTGCACCCACTGACTTCCCCTTCCTCGCTGGGACAAGCCGAAGGACAGCACTGAATGCTTTCCTGGAGCACGTCCCCTGCAACGACAACAGCGGTTAGCTGTGCCAGACACCAGTCTTAGACCCTTCTTACTTTTGTAAAGAAAAATACAACTACATAACTTGTGAATGTGCTGATTTGATTTCTTTTTTTCTGCATAGCCTGCACACTCCCATTGGGTTTAGTTAGTCCCTTTCTCACCTGTAAATAAAGTGTTTTGTAAAACTCTACATGAAGTGGAGATACTCTAATAAACTGGGTTATTTTCTAATACTCTGACGGTGTGGTTCTTCTCGAGCTTCTGGGCAATTCTGAGCTAGGAAACATGCAGATAAAACACTTTAATCCTGTACCCTCGCCTGCGCAGCAGCTCCAGCGTGCTGGTCCAGGCATCCTTAAGAAAAGAGCCAGGCTCCAGCATTTTCAGTGTCCAGGGAGATCTTGAGCATCACACTTAAGCAATTCTTGATGCCAGTTCCCACCCAGAAACCTGTAGGAGTCATCCCCACATCCAGCACTCACCCCAGTGTTGCCATGGGCTTAGCAGGAGCTGGAATCAAAGACTGCTGCTTTCTGCACACTGCTTCTCTCCCAGGGCAGGCAAAACACCCCCTAGGGAAAAAAAAAAAGGCAGAAAAAACACAAAGTCATTACCAGCATCCCAACAAAGTCCAGCCTAGGCTGGTTTTGTGCAGCACATGGCTACTCTGTTCCTGCCAGCTGCTTTCTGCTGCAGACCAGAGGATTTTAATTGCTTTGCAGTCTCACCTTTGAGCTGTGCAGGCAGCGTTGGCTGGCGTATGGTCTGGGGTGCACCAGAAACCGGGCTGCGAGGGCTCACAGGAGGAGAGTCGATGCCTCAGATCTCTCTGCAGAGTAACAGAGTTAAGGAACATTTTTATATCTGTGCTTACACAATCCTGCAGCAATGTTAAGAAGAAAAAAAAAAAAAGAAAAAGAAAAGACCGCTGCACGCAGGCAACTAGTCAGTAGCTGACCCCTAATCTATGGTACACGAGTGGACCCAGGATGGGTGCCAGGGCATCCCCACAGCGCTCTGGTCTGCACTCTCAGCACCACACTGGGGAGAGAAATGCTTTTTCTGGTACAGTCTCCCTGAAACCATTGGCAAGATGGTTCGGTAAAGGGCACCTCTGTCTCAAAGGGACTGGTAGGAGCTGGTTGCCTGCAGCGAATCTGCGCTCCGATGCGAGGGCTGCGCACTTCTAGGAGTGGGGAAACCCCTCGGGCTAAGGCGCAGGACAGATTGCGCACGCAGGCAGCTGACCGCAGGCCCCAAACTGCTCCTTGCTGTGTCTCTCCCCTGATGCCAGCCAGGCTCCACGCTCTGTTTTCCCCACCATAAGCAAAAAAGTCCCCACAGGCACAATTTGCCTCTCTGAAGCCATCAGCTGCTTCTGTGTCCGAATCACCCTCTGCTGCCTGGGGGTCTTCCCTCCCCCAATTCCTGCAGCTTTCCTTACCTCTGTCCAGCCCCTCACTCCTGTCTCGCCACTGGGGTGGGCTCCAGGCGTGGGTGCAGGACAGGTCCTGCGCTGGCTGTTTCCTGTGTGCGGAAGAGCTGTCTGCTTCCTGCGGCACAGACCAGGCTTGATGACATCACTTAAACAGAAACGGGGAAAAGAGAAAAGTCAGCCAAACCCCAAAACTACTGCTCCCTACCTCCTAGAACTGCTCCTGACAAGAGGGGCTCAGCTCTTGGCATCAATAAGAGACCAGAAACCCATGCTGGGGGTACTGCAGGCCAGTGTCCGAGCCGAATATCTCACACAGGGAGGATACACATTGATGCTTTTATAGCATGAATGGTTTAATTCTGCAGTATCCCAGTTTGCAGTTAGCTCCCCCAGACACATGCCCCACAAATGATTTCCCCAAACTTGATGGCTTATAGACGATACCCAGGAGATGCCCTGGATAACCAGGTGCCTGACCGAGACACCACCAAAAGGCACACACATCCCTCTCACACCCCTGTCCCAGCCTCCGGGACTCAGCCAAAAAACTCACATTCTCAGCCCGGAGCCACAGGACTGCCCGCTGCTACACCAGCCACCCCATCTCCTGGCAGATTTGGGAACACCAGTTCCTCCATGGACAATTCCAGGACCTGTGCACTCTTCCCAGCACAGCACTGCTGGCTAAATACCACAGCCAGCCAAATCCAACCCACCTCCTGGAGAGAGAAGGTCCTCTGAGTCAACCACTCAGGAGATCTGTGCCGTTGTCTTACTTGCAAGAGTCCCAACATCACCCTCACCCCTGAATTTTCCAGCCTCCGATGTGCCTGCTCCCCGCCGTGCCACGGGGCACTTTGTCACATCCCTTCCAGAACAGTCCTGCCTGGACTAAATGCAAGAGAAAAGGAGAAGTAAATCAGCTCACCCAAAGGCATCAAAGCCCAGCGATTCACGCTCCAGCACCTGCACACAGTGGAAGTGCAGTGGGATGCTTCCTCACCTGTTCAGCACAAGATGCAGCATTTACTCCCCCTCCCTTGTGCAGCTCTGGGATCCTGCCTCAGCCAGGAGGACATCGGGGCCGAGCAAGAACTGTGCAGTAAACCCTTTTCCTAACAGGAGCGTGAACCCTGTGCAATCAAAACCAAATCAAACTGTGTTCAGGTGGGTTTCACCATCACCCACCAGGGAAAGGTGTGACACAGTTCCTCTTCTCCTCCCCAAAAGCCCTGACAACAGGCTGGCTCTGAGCACGAGAGGGGCGTTGAGGAAGCCGGCTCAGTCCCGGGCAGCACAAACCCACGGCGGCAGAGTGGTCTCCAAGGCTGGCTCAGCCTCGCAGCCTTTCCTTGAGGCGCACAGATCAGCAGTGCTTCCCCATCACTTGATATCAGCTCTACACTAAGTATCATCTGCCCTGAATTACGGGGGAGAGGGGGGGGGGAATTTCTTAAAAGCCTTTTTGGCTCAGGCATCAAAATCATCCTTGCTTTTGCCAGCATATTTCCTTTACACCCCAAACAGATGTAACTGGGATCTGATTACCTGGGAAGACTGCACTCGTTTCTGCTCCGAGGGACCTCTCAGCAAACCCATGATGAAGGGCTCCTTCTCACCGCTGCAGTTCACAATGCCGGGGATGGCCACACACCTTCTGTAGCATCGCCTAATGTACAAGGGAAGTGAGCAGAGACCAAAACGCCACGTTCTCTCCTGGCATCGCTTCGGACATGTGTTTACTGTGCCTATAACTCAAGGGGAGTCTTGTTTGGATTGCGGTCTTGAGTGCTCCAGTTTGGCAAAGGAGATGTTGAAGAAGCACTGAGAACATTAACAAATGGCTCAGCTATGACTCCAGTGTCACCTTCCCCTTGTCAGAGAGCGGCCAGTGCCCTCAAATCCACCTCCAGGGTTTGATAACCTGGTCTGGAGTATTTCTCTTGTACAGAGAAAGGAGAGAGTGTAATTTTCCCTGGAAGAGGGAGGAAACTGGTGTTACAAGGACCACCCTATCCCAAAGCTTTGCAGGGACTCACTGCTTCAAAGCAGTGCGATAACTGCTTTGGATCCCCCCTTACCCAGCTTTCACGGTCACCATCTCCCAAGGGTCTCCCGAGGGCTGGTAGGTACCAACACAGAGCTGCAACTCCCTACTACAGCAAGACATTAGGGTTGCCTAAAACCCATTGGCACGTACAGGAGCCAGAAGAGAAGCAATAAAGCAGCTGAGTGCTCTGGTTTGCTCTGGTAATCTGGAGATGATGGTGTTGAAGTGGGGCTATCTTCCCAAGCCATCCTCACTGTCCAAGACCTGCAAGGAAGGCGGTGCGTGTCTATGTCCAAGTGCAAAGGTGCGGTCCAGTTACACGCCCTTCGCAGCTCCTCGTGCTCTTGGAAAACAAAACCATTAAGTTAAAGATTAGCCCCACCTTGGGGAAGCAGGGAGACATGCGAGGGGCAGGGGGGGCTCTCGGAGGCCTGGGTCCATCCCAGACAGGTCCTTTCGCTCTCACGCAGCCGTGTTCCTCTCTGGTGCTCCCCTTGAAGTCAGACTCTTCCCTTAGACTAAGCTGGTCAACACCTAGGTGCCAGAGGGCCCACCACACCTTGTCACAACCCAAGACCAAGACAGAAGATACCTCCTCGGTGGAGGAGAGCCACCTCCAGAGAGGGTCAGGGGAAC